CAAAAAATTAAATGTATTAACATAAAATGAAAATTAATTTTTCCTAAATTTAGAAATTTTATATAGAAATCATCCCCCCACACGCCATATGAAGAACAAAAGGATAGATTTCGCTCCTTGTAACAAATCAATTATGGCAAATAGGCTTCTTTCAACCAATTTGGAACGATTTCTAAGACGGATTAAATCTCCGCTAACACGTTAATAGCACGCATTATATCGCGCGTTAATTGTCCCAAATTGGCAATATTTAAACCCCCATAACTTAACAAAAAAAATCACAGGTCAAAGATTTTTTCAAATTTAAGCTCAGGACAACAGAGTCTGTCAAAAATGGCTACTTAAAAAGTCAAAATTTGTCTGAAAAAAACCACCCCGAGCACAATTATTCCGTTACTTTCATATCGAAAGTCGGGAAAAAGCCGTCTGGAGTTAATGCATCGCCGAATTTTCATGCCAACGAGTTTTGGTTCAATTGTTAAGGTATCATATTTGGACTAAAAAACTTAAAAAAACTTAGGAGCTGGACAAAAAAGAATATGGACTTGCAACTCAAACAAAAAGCAACGGAGTCCAACATTTCCAATTTAGTTTTTTTTGAGCCAATTAAACGACTGCCCCTTGATATGGATTAAGGGGCAGTCGTTTCATTCAGGGCTTTATCCTGATATACGAGCAGGCTTGTTTCAGTCCTAGATATGTGGAGTATGTTCCATTTTGACTGAATAAAAAGAAATTTTGTGCTATTGCGCTGTCAACTAGTGCTTGTTACTGTTGAAGAAAACATTCGAACTTTTACCTATTCGAATAAACCATAGTTACTGGAAAGAACAAGACTGCTTGTACCAACCAGGGCGAAGCCCTCAATGTTCCGACTGCTTTTTAAGGTCTATGAAAAAATAATAACTTGAAAAAATTAAATGTAAAAATATAAAGTTAAAATATTTTTTGAAAACTTGAGTCTAGATTTTTGTAAAACCATCCTCCCACACGTCATATAAAGTACAAATTGATTTTGCTCCTATTACAATTCGATTATGGCATATAAGCTTCCTCAAACCATATTGGAACGATTTCTAAGACGGATTAAATCTCCGCTTTAGCGATAATAGCACGAAATATATCGCGAGTTACTTGCCTGGAGAAAAATCACCCACAGCTCAAACAATCCGTCACTTCCTTCGAAAGTTTAAATAACATAATTTCACGACTAAATTGATTAACGGGGGTTATACATTCGGTTTCGACAGATAGCTCAAATGAGTGAAACAGAGCATGTGAATGTTTCCTAACGGAGTAGTTTTGTCGCGTTCTCTTTTATGCTTTTCCGTAAATTTGTAAGGTTGAACATTTTTGTTCCGACGTTTGATTAAAGTGATTGAAAAATTGTGCTCGGAGTGTTTTTTTCCGAATATATCTTGACTTTTTAACTAGCCATTTTTGACGGAAGTTTTTTATATCATTCGAAAGGTATTGTTGTCCTAAGCTCAAATTTGAAAAGATATTTCACCTGTGATCATTTTTCGTAAACTTATGGGGGTTCAAAGATGTCCATTTTGGCCAATTTGGGACAATTAACGCGCGATATCTTTCGCGCTTTTAACGTGTAAGTGGAGAGTTAATCCGTCTTAGAAATTGTTTCAAATTGGTTGAAAGAAACTTATTTGCCATAATTGATTTATTACAAGGAGCGAAATCTATCCTTTTGTCCTTTTGTTCTTTATATGGCGTGTGGGGGGATGATTTTCATCGAAATTTAAAATTTTAAATTTTTTTTTTTCATTTTTTATTACATTCAACTTTTTAATTTTATTAGTGCCCCAGAAATCTTAAAAGGCAGTCGGAACATTCAGGGTTTTGCCCTGATACAAGCAGTCTTATTTGTCTTAGAAATTGTTTCAATTTGAAGAGAGGGATGCTGTTTGATCTATTTAAAACGAAGCGATACGTTAAAGCTATTACTTGGAAAATATAATATTGTAAAACTTAAATACAAGCCGAAAAAAAAACAATACAGTTATTACGGCATGCTCAAAAGTGGATTTGGTTTCAATTTTATAATCCAATTCAGTTTTTGTAATAAACGCATAATCAATGAGAATTTTGAGTTTTTTCTGCAGAAAACAAAACAGAATTTTTCCTTTGAAGTGGCCGAATTTGCTCTATACAGAAGCAGAAGTCTTCGGACCTGGTTGGTAGCCCTGTCAAAGTTTTAATTTATCAAATTTTTATTTAACCAAAACAATTTGATATCAAGTAAAAGGCAATTCACGCGATGTACACGCGAAAAGTACAATTTTGAGATGTTCCCAGTTCAAAAGTTACTCCAAGATTCAAACTTAAATCTAAATCGCCATGAAAACCAACAAAATATTCTCTTTTTTTTCGAATGTTCGTCGAAAAAAAAAAATTTTCGATTATGTTTCAAAAGATTTTGAATAATCCAGGATTGGGTGTTCCTGCTTGTTGTTTTCAAATATTCGCAAACTTCAAAGCCAGCGAAGGGAGTTTGGTCTCATTCACCTTATCATTATATATACAAAGCGAGGAAATTAGCGACAGGCTAAATTGACCCGCAGAACTCGAATATCACAATGCTCGAAGCAGTTCATCACGTGTATTTGCATACCAGATACATGATTGACATTAGAGACCCGATGGCGCCGATGATGACAAAATATGTGAAGGAAACTGCCAACAGCCGATCAAACAAACGAGTCGCAAAATTAGCCAGTTGAAATTCAATAAAAGCCGAAGCGTCCATGAATTTGAATCTGATTGTAACATACGGAATAAACCCTTGATTTTTTTTTTTGCAAAATAGCCACGGCGACGGCATGGTTGTTAATTTATCCTAAAATGTATCAAAACATCAAACAATGTATCGAAAATGTTCAAGAGAAAGTGCATTTTAATTATATTATACAAATGCTCCCACAAATTTCCATTGTTTTCCATAACTTCACGTGAGGCGCAGATGAATCTTAAGCCAGTTTAAACTCTAGAAAATCTTTTGAAAAATTGAATCCGCTCATGTCAAAACGTTATCTGTTATCGGTCTATTTTTAGGCTTTATGACAGTACGATCTAATTTCTGCCCTTAAGTTTATGATATTATTTGTATTATTTCAAACATAATTGACATCGGCGCCATCAAGTCTTGTAGGTTAAAGGTGACACCATATGACTGTGTTTACATTAACACAGAGTAAATTCAGATTAAGACCTAATTGGCAAATAAAATTCATAACTGACATCCAGCTCGACTTAAGTGTCGAAGACCTTTTAATGGTATTCGCATATTTAAATACATGTTTGGTATTGCAAGAGGCTCACATATATTTCGTCCCAGATTCATTTTTATAGGGCTTTTTGTGAGAAATTTATGGGCGAAATGTGTGAAGGGAAAAATGTGTCACTAAGAGGGGCAAAACAAGCCATATTCATTAATGGCACATTTTTCACGCCTCAAATTATTATTTTTGTACTCAATTTTCACAATTACAGCCGCCCGCCACAATTAGGAGCAAAAGGTTCAACTAAGATTATGAATTACTTTACGAAAAGACCAAAAGTTTATAGATTGCAAATTATGACGATAAAATTGGGCCATACTTTTTTTTAATTGCAACTTTGCTGGAGAGCAGTTGATGCAAAAAAATCAGTAAAAACTAAAAATTTTTCAAAAAAGAACAGAATGATTGTGACAGCGCGACCTACAAAAAACAACAGCAAGACCTACTTTTTTTATCCAGAAAAACTGACAAATATCAAGACCATGACAAAGAATGAAATTAAATGAAAAAACTGTACCAAATCAATTTTTGCTCCGGCTTTCGAAGAAAACGGAATATTTATGCTTAGGGTGGTTTTTTAATTCATTGAATTTTCGTCGATTGAAATAATATTTTTTGACAAAATTTTTCGTTTGTTTTAAAAGACTTTTTTTTGACATTTGGAAACAAAAGAAGCTTAGCTTCTAAGAAAAAAACAAACTGCTTATAATTGACCGTTAGTACTAGCGTATTTAGAGAAAAAAGTCGATACAAATTAACATTTTTTGGAAACTTTAACGCTATCTTAAGTGGACAGTTTCTTATTCCCAGCTCTCTTACAAAATGCTAAAAAGACCCTGCTTTTTTGGTTAAAAAACTTGTAAAAAAATTAATTTACAGCTTAAAAAGAATTGGAAAATATATATTTGCACATTGATGATCATATACATAAATTTTGTTAAATAATTTTCTGATGAGCTAAAAATTTGGGACTACCAACACCAAATGCTGTGCTTGATTTATTTCCTAAACGGAATTCATTGACCAGTTTAGTTTTTGTCAGTTCAATTTCGAACGATTGAAAGTGGGGAATATTAGACCATACATAAATAGTTTGCGTCTTAAAACCATTATAAATTGAAAATGCACATTCTAACTCAATCTAAAGTTTGCACCCATACAACGAACTAGTTCAACAGTTGGGCATACACGAATTTTGAAACTAAAAACGAATTTTCCCCTTTTGCTGGGGTATCCTCTTGGTCGTAAGGAAAGTGTCAAAATTTTGTAAAACAACTGCTGGAAGTGTTCCAAAATGATAGTTTTTTGTGTAACATCTGATCTTAATTACTGATATTTAATTTTCGAGGTAAAAACCGAGGTCTAAATTGCTCCAAGACCACGTGGTAAAATAACTTATCTGAAGCAATCGCAACATCAAACAAGCGACTCGCAAGAAAATAATGTTTAAATCTTGTGTGCTTTATCAAAATCTTCTTGATTAAACAAAAATACTGTTTGTTAAATAAACCTTAGGTTGAAATATTTTTTTTTCGACAAGAATCAGGTTCAAAAGCTTCAGAAGCTTTAGTAGTTATTATTTAAAGCAATGTAACATTATGATACTTTTTTTCGTTATTTTTATTTTTGATCGAAATGAGCTATTTAAGGTCTTATAAATTCAAAAGTATCTTATAGAAAGTTGAAAAAGTGACGATTTCTCACCTTTTGAAGCTGAAAATTTCTTTGATTTCATCCTTAATTTTTGCCCAGTTTAGAAAAGTGGCTCCCAGATGATTTTCTTGTGATTTGTTGCAATTAACCACTAAATCCGTCTGCGTTCCAATCATGAACAGCAACTTACTGTCTAAAGGCTCGAACATTGAAGAAAACCTAAAACAAAATTTCAAAATCTTATAATCTATGTGGAAAAGTTTGAATTAAAGTACAAACTTATATTTTTTGCGACCAAGTGAACAATCTCCCCCCTAAATCAAAAAGTGATAGTTTTCAGCCAATCAGATTTAAGCATGCCTTTCTGCTTGAATTTGTCATTTAATTTTTTTGGGGGAGGATGAGATTGCTCAGTTGGTCTATTCAGGGGGAAATTGTTCACATGGGCCCATTTTTTAGTTTTAAATTCATTGCAAAATTTTGTTTCAGAGGAACAAGAAATCATGTTATGCTTTTAAAAAACTTCTGAGCGCAAAAACAAAGTTTGCACTTCGCTGGGAGTTTTTTTTTTTAAATGATCATGGTGAAGTTTTTGAAGATCTTTTTTGACCGTTTGTTTCATCCCAAGTCCGTTTTGTTCAGGGTTTAAATAACAGGGTTTTTTTTGTGTGTGCTAGTTGGGTCATATTTATGTGATTTTGAACTTACATGAAGGAAGGCGCCGAGACTAAGAAATCGGTCATCACTTTATTCAGCTGCTGTTCACTCTTTAAGTTGTTCAAATTCAAGTCGTGATGTTCATACTCAAAAATAACACCTTGAAGGTTTTCTGGAGACAGTGTTATGTTCATAAACTGCAGAAGATCCCTGTTTGTTGCTAAAAAGTCTCCATGAAATGTAATTCCATCACATTGGTGCATTCCGATTACGTAATTCTTACGTAATCCGGAAACTTCCAAAGAGCCAGTTTTCTCATTTTTGACACTCTTTGTTGACGATGAAGGTGTGAAAAACTCGAGATAAAATGCATAGTTTTTGAGGTCAGCTGAGGTCAAGTATAGTTCTTCAAGTGGAATTTCTTCGAAGCAGAACCGGAGTGATTTGAATTTTTCGCATCCGAACTTTGATAGGTATTCGTGATGAATTCTGCGCTTTCTCTTCAGATCCAAATCTAAAAGGAACGAGGTCACTTTCAAGAATACTGTTTTTCTGAAAAAAAAGTAAATTTTTCTGCAGTTTTGGAACCCCAACCACAGTTAATTTTGCAAAAGATAATTGGCGTCGTTTTTAAAATTTATGTTAACTTTTTTTTGCAATACTCACTGTTTAAAACGCTTGAAGGGCTGCCGCCTAGAAGAATGTAATTGGAGAACAAATTAGCAGAATTCGTCAAATGCCAGCCAATTCCTGAAGCTGCTGAGCCTTCCGCCAAAACCACAACTTGATTTTTGTCGCCGCCGTACGACAATATGTGCTTCTGAATAAATTCTAGTGCTAGTTTTTGATCTTTGAGTCCAAAGTTTCCGTTATCTTCATCGTCTACTTGCAAGAATCCAAGAGGTCCGTTTCTATAGTTGACTTTAACTACTATTGCTTCCAGATTGGTAATTAAGTGCGACATAAATTCCGAGTATCCTTTAAGATACGAACTGAAATCGGATTTGGGATCAGCAAAAACGACAACAACAGGCACTGTGTAGTCTGTGATTTCCATGCTCTCGGCTCTCGCATAAATATCCAAATTCAAACAGTCCTCGGAAAATCTGTCCTGCAAACTTCGTTGTGCCGAAAGCGAGTTCGTTTTTTGCAGCTGTTTCACCGAATAATAACTGGGGCAAAATAAAGGGTGAAACCTGTTCACTTGGTTGTCACTGGTTGGATTTTGAAAAGCAGTCGGGTTCGTAAAGCGACCTCGAGGAGTCGTCCCGTAGCGGATGGCAAAAAACGTCGTGATTTTAAATTCCTTCAGCTCGTTAATAGTGTAGCCTTTAGTGCTCCAATAATTTGAAAGCGTAACAGTACTACAAGTTGCAGGACAATCTTCCGATTCTGTATTTACAATCAGAGCGGAGAAATATAAAATCAGTAAACTACAAATTTTATTCCCGATCATTTTCGACAACTTTTTTATTTTTAAGCAACAAAGAGGTGATGATAAGATTAATTAATAACTGATTGGTCTAACTAATCATAAGAACTGGTAACTGGCGAGCGATCTAAATAGTTTATTATTCTAATATAACTATAAATAATGTTACAAAGTAGTTTTTTAGTGAAGTTTGAAGATAGAAAGCAGCCAGACTAAATAAACACCAGCGTTTAAATCTAAAATCGTTCAAATGGTCATAAAAACAATGTCTCGAGTCACATAAGTTTAAAGCTCACAGCAAATCATTTTTAGCGTCAGCTTGAAAAAAATAATAAATCATAATAATGGTAATATAATGCAGACAATTTTTGTGAAGCAACTTTCGGAAACGTTAAAAAAAGCCGTTTGAGATAATAAAAACTGAAATCCGTTATCAATAACCTCGATCGATTTTTTTCCACTAAGAATGTTGTGACATACTTTTATAAATGAAATTGTCGACTGCAAGTGTTGACTGCGTGTTTTTTGAATGAAAAAACGTACAAAAGTCATAAGAATAATTAGAAGAAATTGATTTCGAAGCTTCCTCTTAAAAAATTTTGTTTCTTCATAAGCGTTTCGAAAAAATGAATTTACCATCTGAAATCAATGATAGAAAATCAGTGAAATAATTCAAAATTTTTAATAACTCCGCTTAATATTAATTACAAATACTACGTTTGAGTAAGAATAAAACCAAATAAAGGTGATTCAAGGTTGATTTGTAATTTACATTTGACGATATCTGTAAGTTTGCGACGAGTTGGCAAACACCTACTTGGCGCCCAATACTTACCAATCTCAAAAATGCCCAAACAATAATCTTCAAACTGCAACAATGTATTTCAGAGAGCCCAATTGACTTTCAAGTTTCGTTAAATCTCAATTTAAAGATCTGAAGATCCGATTTATCGAATATCGCGGATAGATTATTTATAGAGCGGAGAAATGAGGTTTGAGTAAAATTAAAGTTGAATTCGACTAATTTTATTGAACAGAATTTAGTTTGAGGGCAATTTAATGAAAGTGCCAAATTAAAGTTATTGGGTGCCCTCAGGGTTGGGAGAAACATATAAAAATAATATACTTTGTGGATAGCACTCAGTATTTAAATGGGTAAATTGGAACGTTTCTTCTCATAGAGGCATAACCTGAACCTAAATTTCCGGACATTAATCACTCTGGCAATATTTTTAATCCAAACCGCGCCCGTGATGTTTTCCGGGCAAGTTCTAGTTAGAATCAACAAATTCAACAGTAAAAACTCTGATTTAGTTCCAGTGATTGTCAACAACTTGGCTACTTATCCTCAACAAAGCCAAAAATTTCATGGAGATTCATAAATAAACAGTCTGGAATACTGGACGGGTTGAATGATTTTTAAACCAAACAAACAATTGAATAAACAAATTAACAGGTTGGTATGAAGACCTCCCTCTTAGACCTGGTAGAAACTAGTTTTACAGAGTTTTCAATTGTTTATAATTAAGAATTATGAATAAATAATCAAACTAGCGAGTTTGTTGATTGTCGGTGGTTTTTCACCACCTGATATAATAACTCACCTGGCTGAAGTGATTGGTTAGTCAACATGAGTTAAACTGCTAAATTAGGTGTTAAATTACACAGCTGAGTTGAACTTGAACTTGTACAAATAAACTTGTGTTTGATCACTTAATAAGACCGATAATATCAATCACCGCCTTTTGTGGATACGTCATTGATACAAATGGGTACTTATCAGTCAATTTTTACCAAAAATTATAATTTCAGAGACAAAAAGTTGAAAAATTACGCCTCCTTTGCTGAAATTGATTGATTTCAAGCCTTTGTGTCTTCGTAGCAATCTTCACCTTTTTGAGAATCAAAACAACACCTGCTCAAGACAGATTTAAGCTGTGAATTTGCGTTTTTGCCTCGAATAGTTTATATTTGAAGAAAAAAATTTTGCTCTGGTCACATCACCAAATGAAATGAAGGAACTATGGATTTTTTTTGCCCAATTTCAGGTACCTCAAGGAAAGTCCAGGTACTTCAAAGTTAGTCAAGTGTGGATTATATTATACAGCTCGTGATTCGGATTACAAAAAGATTCAATTTTTTTTCAGGCTAGAGAAAAACAAAAGATTTAAGGAAAAATTATCAAAAATCTTGAAAATAGTTAAACATTTTTTAGCTTTCTTTTGATTTTTCCTATTTTTGGTTTTACTTACTTTATTTGTTTATGTCGGATTACAATATTTTTGGCACTGCAACCGACTCTCCGTGTTTTCAATTCTATCCTATCATCACACGCAACTGTGTCTGCTAACGTTTTTGGGAATTCAGCCCCGGATTGGACTGCCAGTAACAATTACAACTGTTTCAGAATAAAACCAGTGTAATATTCTTTGCAGAAATATTGCAATGACAAAAACAGAGAACCCAGAAAAACAGTACTGTTGAATTACTGGAACAGTACTGTTAGAGTACCGTTTTTTATTTTTTTCTCTATTTTTGTCCTGCCACAGTACTAGAATCAGCCTCCCTCTTTCGGTACTTACGAGTGTGAAAACATTCATCGACCAGCTTTTTTGGTGTGAAGTAATCGGTTTAGAAATATTGTTTCTTTTTGGGAAATTGGGCAATTTTTTTTAAATTTTTTTCAAAATTTCGTTTTGATTATAAAGTTTTGTTTCGTGGCGTTACCGCCAAAAAAAAATCTTTGAGATGGCTTTACACTACAAAAAGCTTAAAACCACGTAAAAACACAGTTATTTTATGCAAAAAAGCAAAATGAGTTAGCGTTGCTTGTTAAATAGCTTGAGCAACGAATACTCCTGGAAACAGGAAAATTTTGGGTGAAAAAAAAACCCTCCCCCGCACGGCTAGAAAATATCGAATAATCAGTTCACTACATTTTTTTTACAGCGGAATAGATTTGGTTGATTGAGTTTTTCAGTATGATGGGATGGATATGCTGGGGGTTGGTAAAGATCAGAATTAATAATTTCAAAAAGAGTACTGATTCAGTACTGAATCAGTACTGGAACAGTATTGCGATTTTGTTTCTGATTTTGCCACTGATCAGTACTGTTAGAGTAGTCGTTTTAAGCTGTTGCATTACTGAAACAGTACTGGCTTTTACTGTCAGACAAACCCGGGATTCTATTCCCTTAATCAAATTGAAATCATCTCTCGTACTTTAATGGAACCAAAGGGGCGTGTATGTGAGTTGAAGTGCGTAATTCGGCAAATTTCATAAATTCGCATAAATTTTCCTTCTCAAAATTGCCTCTAGTGGTCAACGTTTCTGTCCAAACTTTGAAGTTTTGAATTGATTTGGTCGTTATTCTCCTGACAAATATCGTTTTTTTTGCGGAACATTTTAACTGAGAAAAAAATTGTTGTTGACAAAGTTCCTCATCACTGCCATTTTCTTTTGATATTCTCTTTTGGATTCCACAAAAAAATAGCTAAGCCATTGTATTGCTCAAAATCGCTCCCAAAAAGGCAATTTTGCGAAATCCATAACAAAAATTGTGAAAATCGCAGCAAAAATTGCGGAATCCGGAACAGTTTGTGGAATCCATAACCAAACAATAATTTTCTAATAGGAAAAATTAGGCTGTTGTGGAATCCACAAATTTCAGTGGAATCCGCAAATTGTAAGCGGAATCCACAAATAGCAAGCGGAATCCGCATAGATTTGCGGAATTCACTTACATTTGCGCAATCCGCTTACATTTGCGGAACCCGGATCAAATAACTATATTCGCTCGTTGCGGAATCCGCAATAAAACTAATGTACCGACAAAGTAGTTTGATAGTAATAAACATAAATTTTGTCTATTTCTATCAAAAAACAGTTCCAAAAGAAACCAAGGCAAAACACATTTGCAATTAGATTCAGTTTCAAGTTAGAGTATCTTAATTCAATCGTTCGATTGGTATTTTCTAAATGCGAAAGAAAAAAAATTGCCTTTTAAGAAGATGAATACAAGTTGAAAAACTGAATTAAATTACCTATATTGTAAAACTAACCCTTATTGAGAGATATTAGGTTTCATATATTTGTTCGAGTACTTTTTCATCCTCAAATGGAGACAAAATATAGCCCAGTTTTTCAGTTTCAAACTAGATACAAACAAATGTTATTTTGTGAAGCAGTTGATGATTATGGGAGTTAAAACATAGCTACGAAAAAGTATTGAAATTTTTGTTAGCATCACTTTTTCGAAAACTGAAATTCTTTTTCTTCAGCTTTACAAACTAATTTTTATCGTTTTTCTTAAAGCATGATAAGTCAATCCCCAGAAAAATAAATAGTGCAGTCTAGTTCTCAGAACTTGTGGAAAAGTTTCGAAACGCAAGAAACAAGTACAAGGTGTTTTCGAATTTTTCGGTTTGTGTAAATTTTTTACCGGTATTTTTCCATATTTTAGAAACCCGGACACCATTATTCAAATTCAAATAATGCGTTGAATTGGCGTTGAATTGGCGTTGAATGTACGAGTAGTGAAAACTTTTTCCAAAGCTTGCTAATTGGTTGTCTTTCCTTCAAAAGTTTTTGTTTCCTACAAACGCTATCTGGAGATATCTGAAAAATCAATCGTAACAAAAATCGAAAAACAATTAACCTATCAGCAATTTCAAAGAAGTTCATATTTTTTTGCTACATAATTTCAATAAGCAATTTTAATAAACACATAACTCAATTCTTAATCTGTATGTAACTGGAGTCTTTTTTACTATTTTATAAGGTTGGCAAAAGATTGTGGTAATAGATTTGCAGCTTTTTAAGCGTTTCAATTGCGATGAAAAGTTTTCACAATCGTTCAACGTCAAATGCACGCAAAAAAAATATTTTGTAATATTCTAAACGCCTGTTTTAAACACCTGTAGTAATGGAGAGCAACATTTTCTTCAGAAAAACCTTGATTATATTGGATTTTTGAGCACAAGAAAAATCAAATTAGGATTATTTTGGAGAAAAAAGTGATGATAATAGAAGAGAAATCAAACAAAGGGAAATTTAGAAGGGAAACTTTAAAATGAAATAAATAAAAAACCGGTATTTTTTACCGGTATTTTTCCATATTTTAGAAACCCGGACACCATTATTCAAATTCAAATAATGCGTTGAATTGGCGTTGAATTGGCGTTGAATGTACGAGTAGTGAAAACTTTTTTCCAAAGCTTGCTAATTGGTTGTCTTTACTTCAAAAGTTTTTGTTTCCTACAAACGCTATCTGGAGATATCTGAAAAATCAATCGTAACAAAAATCGAAAAACAATTAAACTATCAGCAATTTCAAAGAAGTTCATATTTTTTTGCTACATAATTTCAATAAGCAATTTTAATAAACACATAACTCAATTCTTTATCTGTATGTAACTGGAGTCTTTTTTACTATTTTATAAGGTTGGCAAAAGATTGTGGTAATAGATTTGCAGCTTTTTAAGCGTTTCAATTGCGATGAAAAGTTTTCACAATCGTTCAACGTCAAATGCACGCAAAAAAAATATTTTGTAATATTCTAAACGCCTGTTTTAAACACCTGTAGTAATGGAGAGCAACATTTTCTTCAGAAAAACCTTGATTATATTGGATTTTTGAGCACAAGAAAAATCAAATTAGGATTATTTTGGAGAAAAAAGTGATGATAATAGAAGAGAAATCAAACAAAGGGAAATTTAGAAGGGAAACTTTAAAATGAAATAAATAAAAAACGCATATAGTTTTTCGATTCTAACACAAATATAGAGGATATAGGAAACTGCATCCTGTGCTACTAAAAACACAAAAAGAGGGAACTCAAAAACATTCCAAAGTAATACAAAGTTGAACTCTCGAGTTAGATCATTGTAGCAATCATCTTTAGAAACTATTCAGCTTTTGAGAAAATTGCAAAAATTAGAGACAAAATTTAACGAATAAGGTTTTGGATTTAAGAGAAGCTAAAGGAATTTTTGGACTCGGATGGTTTTTCTCCAGGCAAAGTTCAACAGTCAACGTGCGAGTTTTTTTGAGTAGATTTTTTAATTGAAAAATTAACTCACTTTCGGTAACGTTTTGAAAAGTAATGGGAAAAGACTTGGGGACTACTTTGATTTCTAATGCTTAAAGTGGGATAACTATCACACCACGCAAAACTTTTGACAAAAGAAAATTAAGGTACAATTTATTTCAATCCAACATTAAATGAGACAAACTATTTGATCGGATTTAAAGTTATCTTACGTAAAACGTATCACTGTGTATTTTGCAAAACCCAGGTGTGTGTGTGGGGGGTGACAATGGCTTGAATTAACTAACAAAATCAATTTTAAAAATTTATAAATTTTTTCTTTGCGTTTTATTAAGCAAAATTTTTTCGACGCTCAAAGTTTTCAAATTTTTTCATTGGTAAGAGCAGTCTTTTTTGGGATTAAATGTAGGTTGTTTTGTTTAAAAAAGAGAGATTACACAATACCATTTTCGATTTTGAGCCGAATTTTGACTGCTGTCAAACTGGATAGTTTTTTAGTCAACCATGTTTACTTTGTTTGACTTCGCTTTTCCATATCTAATCAACATTGCATCTAAAATCGAAAACTTATATAACTC